ATGGCGTTTCTTAAATTCTGATAGATAGGGGCAATCCTGATGAACATAAATATTTGAATCAAATCTATAGAGCGTAATACATAGTATTCAAAAGCGGAACAATGGAAGCAGTGGCAGATTTCATGCAAGTGTAGCTTAAACATTTCAGATGATGGAATAAGAAAAAACGAAGAATCAGGAAATATGCTGAGGTCACAAAGAGAATATTTTTCAGTGAAGCATATGTCGCGAATCTAAATGTTCATTTGGCACATGCCTCATGCTTTGAAGCGGCCTGTCTAAGGATAAAACATATCGACTACAAATACAGAAGGCGAGATTGAGGTACAGAGTGAGCAGTTTCATGGTGAAGGTCGAAAAGGAGGCTGTCAGTAACTATCACGCACCTTGAAAAGTATGGTGGAGAAAACGTTTATGGCACCTAGTTTATCATGAAAATAGCGATGCATCAGCTTGAAATATCTAAGTTCGATGAATCTGTCGATCCAGTTCACGATGGAAATCGAAGAGGACAAATCTTCCCTATGGACTGCTATAAATTGAGAAAACGATGGATCACTAAAAACAGCGGTCTCTCAGAAGCCTACACAAACGGAACACTACCTACATTTGATTCTGATCATTCGGCACGGATGAAAGATAGACCGATCAGAAGCTCATTCGATTGAGTTGTGGGATTAGTATCAGATACGACAGAACTCAACATGAAATTCATCACCTGAACTAACTTATACAGACAAACGGGTATCCGCAAAAGTTCCTCAGAAAGCCACTATGGAACAGGAGCAATAGTATTATTAATTATTATCCTCTCTTCGACAGCAGCCGTCTGCATACCTTATATTCCTTTTTCTCAGAGACGATCAGTCGTGTGTTAGAAAAGAAAACCTCTAAGATCTTCTTCATACAGAGGTAAACTATAATTTAGTTTGATGAATAGTAAAAATAAAGCAGCTAGAGGAGAAAAGACCGATTTAATTAACTCATTAAACTGCATAAGATGCCAGCTGTTCTACATCGGTCAAACGGTTGAACCGTTACAATCAAGGACTGTAACACAAGAAAGCAGCTACAAATCCGACTACTGAAGAAAAGCTACGCCTGGAGAAGAAGCTCAACGGCTTTTCACCAAACTTCCAACAGACAGAACTTCGACTTCGACGAACAGAGATGAAAGAGTTAATCTTCCCATCATGGCAAAACTCATGTAAACCTCGAACAAAGACCAAAAGGCAATTTTAATGACATCTTGACTATGAAAACTAAAACACGCAGAAAACAGTTTGTTTGGACACAATGCAAACAAATAAATTGGTCAACCGGTAGCGACGTTTCGGCTCGTCTCTCACGAGCCTTCTTCAGGGAAGTCCGTATTGGTTTCTGCAGTTGGTTGTGTGGTACGCAGCTGTTCTGGCGATTGTAGCCGAAGGTGTGCCCTTGCCCTATGGTGTTGAGTTACGGTGCAAAACCAGCGGCATGGGCTAAAGGCAAACCTTCGACTGCAGCCACCGCAGTAGCTGCGTCTCAATGCAAAAACTGCAGCACAGCCAGCTGCAGAAACTCTCTTGGACCGCTTGACGCAGGCTCGTGAAAGGCTAGCCAAAGGATCGCAACTGGAGAATCGTCTCAGCAGCAGTTCCGATAACTCTACGATTATTAAACAAGAACCACTTATGTAATAAATAACTTTCTCAATCACACCTTTTGCAGTTTTAAAAGGATGGACTTATCTAGCTCGATGATCAGTCACAAACAAACAGAATTCGTTGCAAAATTCTGCGTTTGATTTCTAACTCATATGAATCATATAAGTTTTAACATCATTTTATCAAGCAGATAAGTTTTTACCTACATGACGACAAACCTTTCGAATTATACGGATTATTTATAGTGGCTGATAACTACGAAAATATGGATTCACTGCTTTTCATTTCTCGAATACACACCGCAGTAATGAAACCCGCATTTTCGCTTGCTTAAATGTATCGGCATCATCTGTACAATCCATTTCTTGATTCGTATCTCTAGTCATAAAAGCAATACTCCATCTGGAAGACACAGGGGCAGTGCCTCAGCGAGTTGTCTGTTTGCTTTGCGCATTAGAGCTGCCGTGATCAAGCCAAAACTGCAGCGCACAATTCCTTGCCAAATGTGTTGAGCAAGGCATTCACCTCCTGATTTGTTTCTTGCAATGAAACGTGAAAAAGGAACCATGTCGTTGATCTTTTGAACAGCAAGATGCCTTTTTGAGGTCTTATCAGAGCCTTGTGCACGTACGATGACGCTGTCTGATGTGTTCACCTTGCGATCGTAACTCGCTTTGTTCCACCCGAGAGCTGAATAGAAATTAGCACAAGGTGTATGCCGTAAAAACTTAGGAATTGTACGCAATTACGCAGAACTCTGAGTTTCATTCTTCATCGATATGTTCGCGCAGTCATCATCATCAGAATTATCAGTCAGAAAGCGCACTGCTTAAATTACCGGGAATAGTATATAAAAGTAAGATTTCAGCAGTCACGTGACATCAGTATTACAGAATAGACATAATACACGATACTAAAACAACCGCAACAACTATAGAAGCACTGTCGTACGTTAAACTACCACTAGCTCTTAGTTCCCAAGGGACACTTTAAGAAGGCCATGGCTTCATGATATCTGAGCGCCATCATTTCATTCGTTAGAAATGCCCCGCTCACATTACAGTAATGAACGATGTTTCATGACCTTGGTGTTTAATGCAGGTGGACAAATAGCTAGGGTATGCTACAATACGCATCAAAATCTGGTTTTCGTAGAGTTATGCGTTAATAGCAAGACAAGCAATACAGCAGTTCAAAGTTTTGAGCATTATTTGTAATGTGTTAACATGCCTAAAGTGCAAGAAATACAACAGGGTCATACATAAAATATGCTTCTTGACAGCGATATTTCAGTGACTTATCATTAGGTCATGTAAGAAACAGTAGCAAGGTCAGATTCGTGAATTGCTATTGCCGGTTTCGAAGAAGAGCTGAAAGACGCTGCACAGACGAAGCAACATGATCACAAATAGCAGCAGACATAAGCCCCTGAGTCTCTTGCAGATTCAGACAGCCATCGGAAGAGATGGCCTGAACACTTCGAAGAGCTCCTAGACCGATTCGGTCCAGTGGATGACCTGGAAATAAAGTTCGAAGACCGGCAAATGACTGCTCTATTCCATCGAGAGATGAAATCTGAGATTCCATATTCAAAGTCTTGCGGGCAAGACAGGAATTCTACGGAAATCCTGAATTGCCCAAGCAAACCCTACTGAACTGCATCGTTCAGGTTTTATACAGCATCTTGCGGAAGTCAGAAATTCCTGTACCCAATGCATTCGTGCGAATCCTCCTCTAAGGACTAAAAAACGCATTTAAAAATTAGCTGCAATCGAATCAGAGTTTAGAACTGGACTTGCATGAATAAAATTGCCATACTAAAGAAATTAACTGAACATAAAATGAGCTTCCAATTACCCTATCATGTAGCATTCCTCGAATTACGAACAGCCTTAGACTCGCAACACCATCAGTCCTTATGGCACATACTTCGACACTATGGAGTACTGCAGTAGATTATCGGTCTGTCGAAAGTACTGTACGAAGGCATTTCAGACCTCATTAGTGTATAAGAGTCGTTTCCGGACTGATATATTATCAAATTCTAACGCGCCATACACGTGC